ATAATTTTATATTTATTATTATTTTCACACTTTATTACAAAAGAAAAGATCTTATTTGTGTAAACAAGAAAAAGACTGTGAATAGTTTAAACCAAATATAATAAAAACGTTACAACTAAACTRTGAAGGCATGTTTTTTCATAAGTCTTGTTATTAGTTAGTCTAAGGTCTTCAAAGGTAACCCTGATGGATTTTAGAGAAATATCTTTTTAAGACTAGAAGTTGGGTTATTGACGATTTAAAGCTAGCCTTTTCTGTTGTGAGAGCAAAACAAAATGTAATCTCAGACTGGCTTTGGTCAAAGCTTCAAAGAGTTGCTGCAGTGGGACTAAAGAGCCAAATGGGGCCTCAGATCCTCAGGTTGCAGACCCCTGATGTAGTTTGTTGTGTTGTTATTGTTGACCAGATTTTCATGGGACAGCCCCATAAAGAAAAAAAAATGCATTGTAGCAAAGCACTCCTAAACTTTCTGCTCAGCTCATTGAAACTGGAAAAAAAAGAACCTTAATCATCTCGTCATCTCGTGGGAAGACAAAAAAAGGCACATTTCTAAATTTTTCTTCTGAATTTTATAAATTATAAAAGTGTAGAGAAATAAAAAGATCAGTGAAACTATGTTGGAGTTGTAATGTTTTACCATAATAAAGTATGAGCATGACTTCCATTCTGCCAAGAATCCCTGATTTATGGAAGACCACCATCTGTTGCCACAGAAGACGTGGCTCAACTGAGCAGTGATTCTGATTGGCTGCAGGGACACTTACAGTATCTCCGTCTCTGCCGCACATACAGTAACATGGATCACAGCGGTGAGCTCACACTGGCTCATGTGAACGATGGATGAGGTGATGCAGACAAGACTGCTGATCTCTATACTCTCACGGTGACCTAAACACACACACACACACACACGCACGCACACACATGTAGCATCTCACAGCAGCTGACAGCCATTCATTTACTTCAATGACATGCTCAGGCTATATCTAAATAGAGGGCTTTCTCGGGATTGGAAAGCACCCCCCTCACCATCTCCACCCACCTTAATGTATAACTTTCCATACACAAGTGTGCGCCCTTCCCTTCCTCTGTTCAACATTTTTACTGTTTCACTTTTCACCGCCTCAGTTTTTCTGTTTCTCTCCCATAATCAAGTCATAAAACAAGAAACACAATGGAAAGTCTGGACTTTATTGAGTGAAATGCATGACGTGTTCACAACAGAACCCCCTTCCCCTTGAGAGGAAAAAAAAAACAACAGCTGCCACACCTTTCTGTGACACCTTGACCCCTTTGCACACACACGTTAATGCACACAAATCAGCTCGCGGCATGTTTGCTCTTACAACCTGAAAGCCTCTCTCATTAACCCAGAGGGCACCTCCAGCCTGCCATTGTGCCCCTATCTCCTGCGGCATTCTGGGTAAAGTAGTCTAACAATGTCAGCCAGATAAGCCCAATGCAAACCAGCTGATAAGGAGTCAAAGACTGCACTAAATGTCTGTGTGTTTTCAAGGCGGTGGTTGATTAAGGAGCTGATGAGGAGGATGTAAAAGACCAACAGGGAGTAAAATGGGGGCGTGTGTGTGTGTGTGTGTGTGTGTGTGTGTGTGTGTGTGTGTGTGTGTGTGTGTGTGTGTG